ATGGGCCCCAGATCACAGACGATACTTGTGGCCTCTCTGAACTTCATAAAGACCTCATTGTAGAGGGGATTTTGATCCTAAATCCAAACTGGCCAACTCCCTCCTTTTGCCCCCCTCCCTTACATTCTTCTGTCTTTCCCTCATTCATGTTTAAGCCGTGTTAACCTGCTACTTTGAATGAAAGGCCTCTGTCATCCTCCAAACCCTCCTTCAGATCCTCCAAATAGGAGGTTATCTCGGGGTGGGGGGGGGGGGAAGAGGGCAGAACACAGACAGGAAAGTCAGAAATACGAGAATTGAAGTATGAATTTTGCAGTGTAACCTCCCCGAGCCTTTGTTTCCTTGCCATTAACCCAGGGCTGTGAACTAACATGTGTTCAGAGCTTGGTCCCTTATCTGGCACATAACAGGGCTCCTGAGAATATTAGTTACCAGAGCAGAATAGAAAAGAATGTGTGATCCCTGAACCCTTCAGCTTTGAGCATAGGCTGTGTTTCCAGGCTTTGACTGCACATTAGAATTATCCATACCTGAAGAGCCTGGGCAGATCTTGCCCTTTTACCCCCAGATCTCGGGGGGCGGGACTCGGGTGCCTAGTCTGCAGCTCCCCAGGTGATTCCTACACGTAGACAAAGTAAAAGGAGCGCTGGGGATGAAGCCGAGGGATAAACCCGCCCTGGGCACCTGTTTGTTCCCTGCAGTGCAGATGTTCCAGGGTGAAGTGTGACCTCCAGAAATCCCCAGAGGCTGAGGACAGAGGCTGTCAGGAGACGACACCTACAGCCCAGAGTCAAGATGCCCAAACACCCAGTGGCTGGAAGCAGAGTAGAGCGTTTCCAGCCCTGAAGTCCTAACTGTCTCTGCAGAGGAGCAGAAATGATGGATTTCCCTCTGTCCCCGCCGGGCACTTGGCAGCTCTGGGCTGCTGCCTCTTTTAAGGCTACAGCTATTTTTTTCTAGCAGTGAGCAGGCCTTACTCCCCCTCACCTCGGGACACCTCACTGTGCTGGTGTAATAACCTCTGGGAAATAGTGACTAGGTCCCAGTGCTATTTACCCTTTTCGGGAAACAGGTAGGGAGCTCAACAGCCCCCACATCTTCTGGTCCCCAAAGGCTAACTATCTAGATAACACATATTAAAAAGGAAAAAGAAAAAGAAAACCAGACAGCACTCAGTACCACAGGGAGCCCAAGGGTGGGACTTTCCAGAGGCCACCAGCAGCCTGCCCTCTCTTGCTTTCCCAATGCTGGGAATTTTTCTCCAGCCCAGGAATCCACAGGGAGTTTCTGGGTGTGGAATTTGAGTGACCCCTTCTCAAGTGCTTGTGGCAGAGAATAGAGTGGGGGGGAAATGAATAAGAACAGTAGGAAAAGAGAAGAGGGGCTAAAAAGCATAAAGAAGAATACTCTGGCTTTAATTTTTACATTTATTTGTTTATTTATTTATCTGAGACAGAGTCTTACTCTGTCACCCTGGGTAGAGTGCTATGGTGTCATAGCTCAAACTCTTTCTTTTTTTTTTTTTTTGAGACAGAGTTTCACTTTGTCCTCCTCGGTAGAGTGCCATAGCATCATACTCACAGCAACCTCAAATTCTTGGGCTCAAGTGATCCTTTTGCCTCAGCCTCCCAAGTAGCTGGGACTAAAGGAGCCCACCACAGTGCCCATCTGTTTATTTATTTATTTATTTTGTACAGACAGAGTCTCACTTTATCACCCTGGGTAGAGTACGTGGAGTCACAGCCCACAGCAACCTCCAACTCGCGGGCGTAAGCCATTCTCTTGCCTCAGCCTCCCAAGCAGCTGGGATCACAGGTGCCCGCCACAACGCCCAGCCATTTTTGGTTGTAGTTGTCATTGTTGTTTGGCAGGCCCGGGCTGGATTCGAACCCACCAGCTGTGGTGTAGGTGGCTGGTGCCTTAGCTGCTTGAGCTACAGGTGCCAGACCCCCATATTTGATTTTTAATAATTCGACTAATTATCACGTTTTTATTTCTTTGAGAGGAAAGCTCATGTCTCTCCATCAGATTTAAACACTGGATTGCTCAAAAACAGCAGAAACCAGATTTATTCCACATTTTCTGAAGAAAATACATATATTTGAAGCCTAATTTAATACTTAAATATTTAAGTATTAAATATTTAAATATTTAATATTTAATATACATTTTGTATATTTAGTATTTTTATTTTATAGTATTTTAGTATGTTTATACTATTTAGCATGGGGCAGTGCCTGTGAGTAGGGCACTGGCTCCATATACCGAGG